AGGACAAGGGGAAACGGTTTTAAATTGGAAGAAAAAAGATTCAGATTAGATCTCGGGAAGAAATTTTTTACTATGAGGGTGGTGAGACACTGGAACAGGTTGCCCAGAGAAGTTGTGGCTGCCCCATCCCTGGAGGGGTTCAAGGCCAGGCTGGATGTGGCCTTGAGCAACCTGGTGTGGTGGGAGGTGTCCCTGCCCAGGGCAGGGGGGTTGGAACTCGATGATCTTTGAGGTCCCTTCCAACCCTAACCATTCTATGATTCTGTATAAAACATTCTCCCTCTTTTCCAAACTGCTTGGCACCCCATACCTCACCAGCATCATTAGGAGCTCTGGGTTTCTGGCTCCTCCAAAAACTAGACCCTGGAGACATTGGATAGGTACATTTGAATGGTGTCTGTGTGCGTGTGGTTTCTCGTGTCAGGCCAGAACATCTTTTCAACAGAGAAATTTTCAGCATCCCTGAACAATCCCAGTAGTGCTTGGGTCAAGCACTGCAGCCAACTGGTGTCTCCTGGCAGCTGAGCAAAGTCATCTGTTTCTTTCCACGGAGGGGACAGGTCCTCCGTGCTCAAAATGAATATGGCCATGCTGGAACGGAGTGGAATTAAATTGAATGGATGGCTTTTATTAATTTCTTCCCTTCCTAAGGGAAAGGGCAATGTGACTGGCAAAGATAAGCTCTTGGGCTTTAAGGTCACCTTGCTCTCCTTTCCTCCTGAGTTGACATTGTGCTTTGTTTTGTCCTTGAGTTAGAAAATATTGTTTCTAGATTTCCTTGCAATCTCAATTTTAGTGTGTGTATGTGGGGAGAATGTTGGTGGACCGTGGTAGGAGGGACACACGGAGTTGAAGGGTGACATGTTGTGTTTATTTAGCGCGGCCAAAGATAAGATTTGGCATCAATCACTGTATTTGTGTTTATGCAGGCACCTGTAGTATTTTTGGGATGAAAACAAGGGCACCCTACAGACGAATAGCTGTGGGCACTGCGTGTGGTTTTATTGCTTAGCCCTGAGTCACAGCAACCAGCTTCTGCCTCCAGCTGTGTCACCACCGAGCGGTGTCACCTTGGCATGGGCTGCAAGCTGACTGTGCAGGGATTGCAGCTTCTTGATTAATAGCCTCGCTCGGAGTTATATCCCCTTGGTTCGACAGCACAAATAAGTCTTTATTACCCCGGTAGCAGCGTGGAGTCCTGGCTCAGAAAAGGAGCACAATCCATTCCTGGCTTGGGAACCACGGGGGCAATTAATTATATTTGGATGGCAGTGTAAAAATTGCCAGTAAGGCAGAGATGCTCAGGCCCACAAACATCGCCGGAGTTTTAATTAAAAGGATGACTTTAAGCAGCTTTGGGCACGGATACTTTATACTTCTCTATTGGTTTCTATCACTGTCTCAATAATGAATTGTCAACGAGCTCAAATGAAATGAGCTTTCGTTCTGCGTGGCATGAAGCTCTCAAAGGGGGAAAAGTAGCTACTTCAGCAGTGTGGAAAATAAGGGTGAAAAAGAAGTTGTTTCTCCTTTCTTGGGTGTTCATAGGGTGGAGATCACAAACGCCGCCCGTGTAAGAATGAGCCTCCACCAAGTGATGGTCTGTGCGGAGGATGGCTCTGCTCCAGCAACGCATCCAAGCCCTTTGCTTGGACACCCCTCTGCTCTGCTCTGATGAGATCCCACCTGGAATACTGCGTCCAGCTCTGGAGTCCTCAGCACAGGAAGGACATGGAACTGTTGGAACGGGTCCAGAGGAGGACCACAAATATGATCAGAGGGATGGAGCACCTCCCCTATGAGGACAGGCTGAGAGAGCTGGGGGTGTTCAGCCTGGAGAAGAGAAGGCTCCGAGGAGACCTTATAGCAGCCTCCAGTCTCTGAAGGGGGATTACAGAAGAGATGGGGAGGGACTCCTGATCAGGGAGTGGAGTGATAGGATGAGGGGGAATGGTTTTAAACTGAAAGAGGGAAGATTTAGATTAGGAAGAAATTCTTTGCTGTGAGGGTGGAGAGACACTGGCCCAGGTTGCCCAGAGAAGCTGTGGCTGCCCCATCCCTGGAGGGGTTCAAGGCCAGGCTGGATGGGGCTTGGAGCAACCTGGTCTGGTGGGAGGTGTCCCTGCCCATGGCAGGGGGGTGGGACTAGATGTTCTTTAAGGTCCCTTCCAACCCGTACTATTCAATGATTCTATGATTTGCTGGGCTGGAGCAAGGAAACTCAGCCTTTTGCAGGAGGGTTTTGCAGCGTTTCAGTGTGTCGGAGGGAGCGCCGCGAGTATTCTCTTGGTTTCCACATTAATCTCTCAAATTCTGTTAGAGAACCAGGCAGAGTGAAATGCAGTCCCAGAAAGGGAGCAATTAATTAAGCAGCTCTGTGCCTTTTTCTGGCGTCGACCCCGGCAGCGCCCGTGAACCCGGTAAATGCTCTCGGGTTTGCCGTCCCGAGCTCCGATCTGCCTGAAGCTGATGGCAAAGGGACTCCTTTCAAAGCCCCTCTTGTGTTCTTTGGGAGCACGTACAAGGACAGTGTTACAGACATTACTGCTCTGCCTGTAATGGCTAAGGAAAAGGGCTCGACAGACTATTGGACTTGCTTTTTGCTTTTTTTTTTCCCCTCCTCTGTGTGTGCTTTTGTTGGAGATGAGGAATTAGCACTACTTTTTTTTTTTTTTTTTTAAAGACACTCCAGTGCCCACAACCCCAGCTGACCTAGGCACTTTTGGAGGCTTAGCCAGGAATTTTCGAGTTATTTTTAAATGCTGGGAGTCTTGCAGAGGTCTGGGAATGTGAAATGATTGATTATTTGCATCGTGGAGCATAGGAGTCACAGCCCCGGACTGAGGCTCCATTGTGGTAGGTGCTGAATGCACACAGGACAAAATGACTGGCTTTGCCCTCGGTACCGTGAAATCGGAGCAGAGTCAGCTCCCATCCCTCTTTTTTAATATATTTGTACATGCTCAGTGTGACGCAGCACTGTATCAAATCACAGATATGTTTTTTAATAGGAAATGAAGTACAAATAAAGGTCAGATTTGTGTAGCGTGCGTTTGCGTGATGTGTCACGCAGTAAACAGTATATGAATGCCTGGATGAAAAATAATTCTTCACTCTTGGAGTTGCTAAGAGTGAAATATATGTATTTTTTTTGCTGTGTTTCTCTGCTGTGTCCAGGCCTCTGGTCAGTGGCTGCGTTGCCATCACCAGATGATTTGCATTTCCTGGGCTCCTTTGATCTTTTTGCCAGCCTGACATCTGGCTCCTTTCCCTTTGCCAGGGTGCCAGGATGGTGGCAACGTTCTCACAGTTATTTCTATCTATCTTTTCCCTTAACAATTAGCCTGAGAAATGAATGATTCCTCCCCACAGATGTGGATTTGGGTTTCTTTTTTTTTTCATCCTGCCAAAGAGCAGACAAGGAAATTCAGCTCTACGCCAGTAATGTTATGTTTTCTACAGGCTATCACAAAACCCTTGTCCCTGCTGGGTATCTTCATCCATGAAGTTGCAGGGCTAATGGTTGGTTTTGCAAACGTAGGAGGCGTTCTGTGGACAAGTTTGAGAAGATTGGTCCCGGCAGGATGCCTGGAGTGGAGAAAAGATGGGAGTTGTGGGAGTTGTGCTGCACTTGTCCTCCCAAAAGCTCCATCTCGGGCACAGAGAGGCTTTATTCTTGCAGCACAGAACCCATCTGTGACTGTGAAATGTTTGACCGCTGTTGACATCTTGGAGCAATAAGGATTTTTGTTATTATTATTATTTTTAGGTGTCTTGCAGCCAGAGAGCCCCTTGAAAGGTAAGTATCTAGTCATCACGCTTGGGCTGCCCTTCAGGAGGAAATCAGTGCAGCTCACAAGTGCTCGTTGCAGCCTGTGGTGCTGGAGAGTGGCATCTGCCACATTAAGTAACTCCATTAAGTGAGGTCTCGGTGCCCGTGCCCAGATGGCAGCTGAGAAACGTGTGTCTCACTGAAGCCAGGCTGCTGCTCGGTGGGACAGGATCTCCTGCTAGCCAGCTGGTGTCACGCTCGAGTTTGGAAGTCTGGCTTTTGGAGGACTTCATGCCAGGGAGAAATTAGAGACCTGCACATCAAACCCTGAGTGGGTATTTCAGCAATTGCAAGCTTTTCGAAAGATTTTTGTCTTGGGTCCAGTCCTGGCCCAGTCACAATCTGATTTATTTAGGGAAACTTCTTTCTTTAACTGAACTGAAGAGCCCCAAGTTGAAATATTGTAGCAAAAGCCTCAGACATGGGCACAGGTAGCCCAAGAACCTGCATCTCCTGTTTCCCATTACAGGCCAAGCTCCGTGGCCTGGCAGGGAAAAGTTTTTGACCAGTTCATCCTTAAACATTGAACAATTTTGGCCGAGTGACTCATTGTTTCGTATTTGTTGTTTGTATTGCTATAGCAGTTGAGGCTCTTAAGCTTTGGATCCAAGACCTTGTTGTGCCAGGTGCTGTAGGAACATGGAAAAAAAAAAACCCAACAAAACAAAACAAAAAGGCCTTGTGAGGGAGAACATGAGTTTCTCTATAACCCAAGACAACAGATGGCTACAGATGGGGGAGCACAAGGAACCGATGAGATAATACTGACCTGTGCAGTGAGTAATAGTCTTGGTACATCACTTATCTAAACACTGCTGAGGTTTTATAGACATTATAGCAAAGGGCAGTTTGAAGGAGGATTGTCAAGTGACGGCAGAAGTTTACAGTAACATCACATGGAGAGGGAAAAGAGACACGCTGGAAGAAAAAAAGATTCAGATTAGATCTCAGGAAGAAATTTTTTACTATGAGGGTGGTGAGACACTGGCCCAGGTTGCCCAGAGAAGCTGTGGCTGCCCCATCCCTGGAGGGGTTCAAGGCCAGGCTGGATGTGGCCTTGAGCAACCTGCTCTAATAGGAGGTGTCCCTGCCCATGGCAGGGGGGTGGGAACTAGATGATCTTTGAGGTCCCTTCCAACCCAAACGATTCTGTGATTCTATGAAAACGATGCTGGAGGAAAGATGTTCGCTGCAAAATCTGGTCAGCATTGCAGATGCTGTGGTCATGTATGAGAGAGTGCAGGTACAGGAGCAAAGTGGAGACAGAAAGTTTATTTGTTTGAGCAGGGAAAGCAGAGCCAGTGGGGAAAAGAAACCTACAGGCAGGCTACATATTCAAAGTCTTGGCCTGGAACTTCCTTCTGGTGTGTTTGCTACTACCAACCCAGGGAAAAAGAAAGTGCTGTTTCTCTGAATCATAACCTTTAACCGTCCTGTGGCACGAGGGAACAGATGAGTGAAGCAGAATGTGTGTGTTCCTTTATTTGCAGTGCAGATGCCTCCAGAAGGGGAGCAAAAGAAAAACGATGCTGCTTGTACTGCTGTTTATTTAAACTTCAGTTTAACAAAATTAGCCTGTGCAGAAACTTCAGTGAACATCCTCTTGAAAGCTTGCAGAGCAAAATGCAAGTCAAATGCCAACCCCAGCAATTAGCACGCATCCTTTCATGAGCGTTAAACTCTGCTTCATCTCTACTGATCAGGTTCTTTTTCTCCTGTGTGCTGTCTACAGCTAAAAATAATGTTGGTCATGGTTTGCTTCCCATGCAGCACGGGAGGAAACAGCCATCATGATGTCTTTCCATCCTGGTTTGAGGATGTCCAGGAGCCCAGGTGCTCACAGCCCGCTGTGGAAAAGGTGTTGCTTGAAGTGGGGCTTCACCACGGTGAAAATAAAACTTGTCAAGGTGTGTTGCTGTTTGATAGGAAGGATTCTTACCAAGGAAGTGGAGAATCAAGAAGGCTGTTGTATCCTCTGTAACGCAGCGTGACGTGACTGCAGAAGAGGAGAGGATGTATTTAAATAGACTCCCCAGAAGGTTGCTGGAGAAATAGCTTCATAATAGGAAGTGCATGGGTTGTTTCGGCATAAAATGATATCCCAGATGTGTTCTCTGCAGTAGGAACCCCTTTTAGCTGAACTGTTTTAGCTGGAAGGAACAGTTAACAGTTCCAGTTCTTTATCTCGAAGGCTCTTTTGACAACAAACTTTGGTCTTGCCACTAGAGGGGGACTTCAAGCTGTCCACTCCATCCATCCTGGGCCTCACCAGCCACCTCTCGGTGCTAACACCAGCCCAGCAACTCCAGCAGCAGGACCCTCTCTGCTCTGTTGGGGTATCTGGGGTATCACAGCACCCATAAAGGTCAGATCTTGCAGCCACGGAAATGTGAAGGGACGTGGTGGACAGGGGGAGTCTGACTGGTGCGATGTCCAGGTGCTTCTCCAGTGATCTGGTTCTGCAGAATGTCATTTCTTATTCCCACACAGCTACAAAAAGTGTCCTGAGGAGGAATGGTGTTCAGTAAAAGCTGAACAGGGTTTTTGCAACCTCCCTGAGTCTTGGAGAGGTGTGAATAACCCCTCTCCATGCCTGGATGAAGGAACGTAACAGCAGCATACCCTGCAGTGCCATTAAACTGGTCAAAGATGGAATGGAAACATGAGTGCTTCCAGATCCTCTGGGAAGAGTGAAGGCTTTGAGTATAACAGACCCACTTTTGTGCTGGGCCTGACCTACCTGTTTCTTGTTGCCTTGCAGGGCTTTTACTCATGTGTTCACCTTCGGCCCGACGTTCCGAGCGGAAAACTCGCAGAGTCGCCGGCACCTGGCGGAGTTCTATATGGTGGAGGCTGAGCTGTCCTTCACTGAAAGCCTCCAAGATGTCATGCAGGTGGGCACTCCAAATATCTGTGCAGGACCAGTGCCAGAACTTCCTCCTCCCTGAGCTGTGCTCCCTGCCCTCAACTGAGCTTGCAGCTCCTTTCACCCTGTGTGAGCCGCGTAGAGGTTTCACGGGGACTTCCCAAGGGTCAGGGTTTGCTCAGCAGAGGTAAGGCCATGGAGGAGATTTGGAAAGGAAGATACAGGCGTGAGCACAGCCCCCATTTGACACAGTTGCTGTATTGCTAGAAAATAGAGAATCGTAGAATGGTTCGGGTTGGAAGGGACCTTAAAGATCATCTAGTTCCAAGTCTTCATGCCATGGGCAGGGACACCTCCCACTAGACCAGGTTGCTCAAAGCTCCATCCAGCCTGGCCTTGGACACCTCCAGGGATGGGGCAGCCACAGCTTCTCTGGGCAACCTGGGCCAGGGTCTCACCACCCTCACAGCAAAGAATTTCTTCCTAAAATATAATCTAAATCTCCCCTCTTTCAGTTTAAAACCGTTACCCCTCGCCCTATTGCTGATAAAAAGCCCCTCCCCATCTTTCCTGTAGGCCCCATATGTAAATGTGCTTGGCTGGTGCTAATGAGAGTAGCACTTTCCCTTTCAAAACCTTCAGCATCTCTCCAGTGAATGTGGGTGGTACTTGCGCAGTGTGTCCCTTGGTGTGCTCTCTATAAAGAGCTCCTTGAAACCTGCATTGAAATCAGAAGTAGAAACAACAGTTCCTGGCATACCCTGGTCGCCGTGGCTTTAGCAGAAGACTGACAGAAGTCCTTAGTCAGCAAGCTTTTGATTTTTTTCAGGGTTGACCTCTCGGTTTCAGTTTAACCGCATGATGGATGCTAATGCATCTTACTGGTCTCAGCATAAGCCAGCTGATGCCCAGGAGGGCTTGTGAGTAAACATCCACACCTACTCCACTGTATCAGATAAGGTCCTTGGAAATCTGTGGGTGAAAGAGCCTTAAAAAGACCCGAGGCACTGGCTACAGATGGATAAAACAACAGGTGGTGATTTCTTCAGCCTGGATCATCTACAGTCTGAGTCAATATGGCCTGAGAGCAGGGCTGACATACTCTGTCTCTTGTGTGTGTGCTGCTTCTGCATCTTGGATGTCTGGAGGACACTGGGCTGTGTGGACTGACCCGTTGGGGCCAGCGCTCCGTCATTAATAGCATCCCTCTCTTTTCTTTTCTCTGTCCATTTTTTTTTTTTTCCAGAACAACTTTGTGTACTCTTAGAGCATGGCATCTGTATATCTTTACACCTGACTTTGTGTCCAGTTTTGGGCCCCCTACCATAAAAAAGACATTGAGGTGCTGGAGCGGGTCCAGAGAACGGCAACAAAGATGGTGAGGAGTCTGGAGAACAAGTCTTATGAGGAGAGGCTGAGGGAACTGGGGTTATTCAGCCTGGAGAAGTGGCGGCTGAGGGGAGACCTTATTGCTCTCTACAACTACCTGAAAGGAGGGTGTAGAGAGATGGGGGTCGGTCTCTTCTCTCAAGTCACAGGCGACAGGACAAGAGGAAATGGCCTCAAGTTACACCAGGGGAGGTTCAGGCTGGATATTAGGAAAAATTTTTTCACTGAAAGAGTTATCAGGCATTGGAATGGGCTGCCCAGGGAGGTGGTTGAGGCACCATCCCTGGAGGTGTTCAAAAGACAGGTTGATGTAGTGCTGGGAGGTGTGGTTTAGTGATGATGCTCCTTGTTTGTTGTGTGGGTGTCTATTTTTGTCAGTTAGGTTGACGGTTGGACAAGATGATCTTTAAGGTCCCTTCCAACCTAGAAGATTCTGTGATTCCTCAGCCCCCTGTTTCTCTGGGTAATCGGGAGCTGATTGAAATCTTCACTGCTTTTATCTAGTGTAATAAGCAGGGTCTTCTGTTAAGTGGTGTTTAAGCCTTTGAACACAACATGAACATATCTGTGCTCTTGTGCTGAGAACCCTAATTTCTTCGCTTTTGAACTATAGAGAACCAGTTCAGAGAATTAGCTTTGAGAACCGTTCTGGACTGTGTAGGGTTTTTATTTGTAGGTGAAAGGAGGAACTTCCCCCCGCCTTGGCTTGGCTTTTGTTGTTGCTAAACATCTTGTGAAGTCTCAGCCTGTGCTTTCTCCTCTTTCGCTCCTTCCCTCTGTCCCAAAGGCTTTGACGAGCATCTCTGTAACAGAAACTCTCTCAGCAGCCATCGTTTTGTGTTCCTCCTAGTGAGTCTACATTGCAACACGCTTACTTTTGGGATGTTCTCATTTGCAGAAGTGCAGTTCCTGTTTTGTTTATTTTTAAATCATTGGGCAATCTCTCTTTTTTTTAAAAAAAACAAAAAAACAAAAAAAAACAAAACCAAAAACAGACAGCTGCTCTAAAGCCTAAATTAAGTTTCTTTTTCCCTGCACAACTGACCTAAATTCAGTGTTCTGTCATGAATCTGCCCGTTGGGCAGTTTGTCTGTTTGTCATCATCTGCAAGTTCTTTGTTCGGTGCAAAACGCCCAGTTGAAAGCCTTGGGGGCTCTTGGCCAGCGTTACCATCTGAACTTTGTCCTTGGATAAAGAGCTGGATTGTTTAAAATGTATTTTTAAAATTGCTATTCAACATTTGGACTGAATACCTCTAACTTTAGCAAGTTAGTGTGCTGGGAATGCTCAGCTTCTCCAGGGACATCTTGAGGATGGGGCCGGTCTTGTTAGAGGATGGGGCTGGGCTTTTTTCAGTGGTGCCCAGTGACAGGACAAGAGGAAATGGGCACAAACGTGAAGATAAGTAGTTCCATCTAAACATGAGGAGGAACTTCTTTACTTTGAGGGTGGCAGAGCCCTGGAATGGGCTGCCCAGGGAGGTGGTGGAGTCTCCTTCTCTGGAGACATTCAAACCCTGCCTAGACACACACCTGTGCAACCTGGTCTGGGTGGACCTGCTTTGGCAAGGGGAGTTGGACTAGATGATCTCCAGAGGTCCCTTCCAATTCTGTGAATTCTTTGTTTACACACCATTAAAGAAGAGCCTTGCTGCAAAGATGTACAGGTTTACCATTCACTGATGAGGCCTGAGATCTTTCTCTCAGCCAAAGCTACAAGAGAAGCATGGATTTCCTTACAACGTAAAAGGAAAATGGAGATTTGATAACAAAGTTCCTCGTATTCATGAGCAAAGAGCCTGAAATCTTAGAGCTGTGGCCTTTTTCCTCCAGTGTAATTTCACATCGTGCTGAGTTATTCCTAAATGAGTAGCAGAGTTCTTGTGAAGTCTCATGTGTCTTGATCATGCAATCTGAATTTGTTTTCCGTGCCAAAACGTATTTTAGTGCTAGGAAGAAGCTTGAACTCCCACAATATGGGTTTCACAATATTTTGTGTGGAAAGCCCCACGTGCTCGGCGCAGTGCTCTGCACTGCGAGGCTGGGTGAGAGCATCACTGCTTCAGCCTATGGAAGTTTATCTAAGCAGAGGCCTCTGTGGCCTCTTGCCAGAAGAGTCTACTCAAGAAGTTGAGTCAAGTTGCCCCAAAAGCACTCTTCCTCCAAACTGGAGGAGAAAGAGAGGGACTTAGAAGAAGATCAGGTAAGACAGTGTGAGGAATCCACTTTGTATGGAAATGGCTGGACTCACTAGAGCCATCGCCCCTCCAGTCCCTCAACTGGAGGTCCAAAGTCTCCAGTCCCATCTGTCCTCTGAAATGTCTGTTGTCACCTTCTCCCTTCAGTGCTGTATTTAGCTGTGTTTGTAGATCATTATCTTCTATTTTTTGTTCCACTGTCTTGGCAGCGTGGTGGATTTAAAGGATCCCACTTCACTCATGACACTAATGGGCTCTCAAAGAGGCTGTATGATGCAGTCATTATATAATTTCATCAAACACGCATGCAAAACCATGCCAAAACCCTCATATTATTTAAGCAGTAAAGTTAGAAAATGCTAGAAGGAAGTTTTCTTGAGGGCACTTTTTGGAGTTATTCATCACATCCTAGCATCACTGTCTCTTTAAGAGGTGGAGAATACATCTCCTTAAGATGGAGAGTACAATTTCACACACGTTATTTGAGCAGAAGTGTTGTCTTCCACTGGTTATGTACTTCATCAAAATTAATTTGCTGTCATTACAGCCCGGTGACATGGAGCATTATTACCTCCGTTTTACAGGAGAGAGTGAAATGAGCAGCAGCACTGATTTGGGGTGCTGGTTTCAAGGACCTTAGATCTGAAACGCTGGAGTGGCTACATTTCCAGAATAGTTTGCACCCCGAGTTTGTGTCTTCAGAAGACACAAGAAGAGTTTGTGTCTTCAGTGCCAAGGTTGAGGCAGTTGGGCAGATGTGACTGCAGTCTCAAGGGAACAGACATTGGTAATCATAGAATCATAGAATGGTTTGGGTTGGAAGGGACCTCAAAGATCATCCAGTTCCAACCCCCTGCCATGGGCAGGGACACCTCCCACTAGAGCAGGTTGCTCAAGGCCACATCCAGTCTGGCCTTGAACCCCTCCAGGGATGGGGCATCCACAACTTCCCTTTCACATGGGAAAGGTTTGTTCCAAGTGTCTTGTGCTCTTTAGGGACATGGGGGTACCCGCAGGGCTACAGGTTCCTTCTCTGGAGTGGCACCCAGCTGTCACGGTTGAGGCTTTAGGTTTCCTGACTTCCATCAGCATTGATTTTTCAGCAGTGACCTGACAGACCAGAGTCTCCTTCCTTTCATAACAGAATCACAGAATCTTCTAGGTTGGAAGGGACCTTAAAGATCATCTTGTCCAACTGTCAACCTAACTGACAAAAATAGACCCCCACACAACAAACAAGGAGCATCATCACTAAACCATACCTCCCAGCACTACATCAACCCGTCTTTTGAACACCTCCAGGGATGGTGCCTCAACCACCTCCCTGGGCAGCCCATTCCAATGCCTGATAACCCTTTCAGTGAAAAAAATTTTCCTAATATCCAGCCTGAACCTCCCCTGGCGCAACTTGAGGCCATTTCCTCTTGTCCTGTTGCCTGTGACTTGAGAAAAGAGACCGACCCCCATCTCTCTACACCCTCCTTTCAGGGAGTTGTAGAGAGCAATAAGGTCTCCCCTCAGCCTCCTCTTCTCCAGGCTGAAAAACCCCAGCTCCCTCAGCCTCTCCTCATAAGACTTATTCTCTAGACCCCTCACCAGCTTTGTCGCCCTTCTCTGGACCCGCTCCAGCATCTCTCTGAGCTGTTGGTTATAGAGCTGAGACAGGAGACTTTATGACCAAGATCAGACACGAATCTCCCCTCTGTGTGTGTGTGTGTATGTGCACACACGTACGGTGTGTGTGAGCAAGCATGAAGGCAAGAAATAATGGCCCACTTGGCGAATGTTTGATGTGGAAATACCCTGTGATCTACACACTGCATCCATATGCATGTCCCTGGTGAATGCATAAACAAAAAATCCTTTTTGTGATTTTTCAGAAAGTCTTTTATGTCATAAAGAGGATGGTTTCAACCCTTTTTGTAGTGCACAGGCACCTTCAGTTTCTGCTGCTGACATTTACTGCTGTTTTGTTGATGATTTCCTCTGTTTGAACTCTGGTCGTGATTTTATTTGGGAGGCGGGTAAGTTGCAGTGGGAGAAGATCCAGTTAAACAATACAGTTGGGAGCTGCTCCTGAGCAAAATCCAGTCAGTTAACCATTCAGTTCCACAGCAACGTTGGGGAAGAACAGGACTTGGGACTGCTGAACTTCTCCGAAAGATGAAAATCAAGAAATAAAGGCTGAGAGGGATGAGAGAGAAAGGGAAAACTTTTATCTCTACTCTCCTACCAGCGCAGTTCCTACATTTCCATTATGAAGCAACCAAATTAATGCCTGAAAAGGCACTGAGAGTCCCACCTCTGAGATGAGCTGCTTGCTGGGATTCCCATGGCTTTTCCCCCTGTATAAATCTCCAATCAAACGTGTTTCTTACAGGATACATTCAAACCAACCACTTGGCCTGTGTCTCCAGCTCACGCGTTCCCTCAAACCAGCAAGCCAGTGGTTATGCTTCACTCTTTTTTTCCTATAGCCCACTTTCTAGTCCTTAATATATCTGCTTAAAGCCATAACTTCTGAGTTGGAGAGCTGTTTCTTTTCTTTTTCTCCCCTTTTTTATTTTTTCTTTCTGTTGGTGCCTAGTACACATTTGGCATAAATAAGAGCAGCGAGGAGGCCAATGCCTGACCCACGTGTCTGTCTCCTTTTGCCAGGAGAAAACCTCAGTCACAAACCTGGAAATATTTCTCAGATTGTTTTTCCCATACCACCCACATCTTTTTTTTCTTTTTTTTTTGTTTCTCCACAAGAGGAAGCTGCTTATGTTGAATGCTGTGGGAACCTAATTGTTACTTTATCGCACAGCGAGGGGAAAAAAAAGTGCTAATTAAACAACACGGTTTTCAGAAACCAGATGATACTTTCATTTTCTAGAAAGAGGAAGCTTAATGTAAAATCCCTTCGTCTCTGCCTGGTGAAACCAGCTGAATTGCCAAGGAGTTTTCTAATTTCATTTGCATAAGCCTTTTTCTGGCTACTTTGAAGACAGTTCAAAGCTGGTTGGTTATTTGCCACTCAGCAGCAGGAATGCTGGCTTTTCATTTCCTCCGCCTTTGAGTATCAGTAGGGGTAAAACTGTTCATCTGCATATGATAATGCTGTTCCTTTATTTGGATCTTCCCTTTTTAAGCAGAGGGCCCAGATTGATGGAGGAGCCTGAAGGCTGAGTTTGGCTCCAGAGGAGTCAAAACGGGCTGATTTACCAGCTTCTCCGGGCTGGTGGAAGGCAGAGCTTGTTCATCAGCGCAGAGCAGCAGTTTGGGACAGATGATGAAGGATGTTCTTCTAAACATGAGAATTTGAACAACGTGCCTGCAATCTCATCTTGGCTGTGTCAGTAGCCCAGCTTCTTCTTTTCTCTGCCTTTTGTTCCTCTTACCCTGTAAGATCTGGTTCCTTGGAAGGCAGAGACCTGCTTCTTCCTCGGATCTGCTGACCAGGCTGGATGGGGCTTTGAGCAACCTGGTCTAGAGGGAGGTGTCCTTGCCCATGGCAGTGGGTTAGAACAAGATGATCTTTAAGGTCCCTTTCAACCATTCAATATGATTCTGTGAATGTCAGGTTTGTCTTTTCGCAGTTAGTCTCTCCTGGGCTTTGTGATGTCTAGGGACTGCTAATCACCTAGCTGCAATTAATGAAGCTGTTGGTATGCTCACAGAAAAAAAACATGAACATGCCGTGACTTTCAGAGGTGGTTTTTTTGTTGGGAGAAGCCTGGTCCTATCCCAGGCTGAGATGCCGTGCAGCCCTGCTGCATTGCTCTGTTCCTTCCAAAGGAGATGAGAAGGAAGGTGATTTTGAAGAAGAGTTGGGATCATCAGTTCTACACGGGTATCAGCTGCCTGCTTTGTGCAGGCCTAAGTCTACCAGGAGTCATGGGAACTCTTAATCTGCATGACAAGTGTCTCAGATGGTCTGCTTTGCTTAACCAAAGGAGAAAATTACTCTTAAAACAGGTTGATCAAAATACAGGGGTGTCCCACAAGGAGGATTTTTTTTATATATATTTAGAACCAAAATAGCATTTTACTTTCTTCATGGGTAAAGCCCATTTTACTGGATAAGTGTATACAAATTGGATGATAATGTCATTTGGCTAATCCATATTGGTTTAGGGAAATGAAACCACATCTTTTTTTAGTTTCTCAAACGTCCCTGCATTAATGAGTTCTCTGCTCTCTACTCATCTCTGTACGTGTTGGTTTTTGCTTTGCTCGTGCTGCGCAGAGTCTCTCTGGCTGGGGTCTGTTTGATGGGTTGGCTCTATACAGTTCAAGTTTATTGTCATCTCCTTTAGTTCTGCCTCCTCTAACGGCAAAGCAGAAAACCAGAATTGCTCATTTCAGGACAGACTCCTCACTAATAATTAATCTGAGACCAGTCATTGTGAATGGTTATAATGTGTGTGTTTGTGGCCGACCAGGGCTCCTGCTTGAATTATTTTAGCTGTGTTTTTATTTCCTGGAGATACCTGACTGAAGAGACTGGGGCCATCAGCAGACCCTGAAGCCCTAAACCCATAGCAGAAGCAAAGGTTCCAGTCCTCTTCAGCTGCTGAGCAAGCTACTTAGGAGCATTAGCAAGCTGGTACCATCTCATGCAGTCTGACCATGCAGGAGGACAGAAGCTCCTTCTGTACCCTTTGGCTGATGTGTACCATGTTCTATTTACAGCCTGGGACATCTAAGCAGCATTAATTTTTCACCCACTGCTGTTTTCTCTCTTAGGTTATGGAAGAATTTTTGAAGACAGCGACAAGCACTGTGCTCTCCCAATGTCCTCATGATGTTGAGCTTTTTCATAAATACATAGCTCCTGCCCAGAAGGTAATAAATGTCACAAGAAAGAGCTACAATCCCGTTATGCATTTTGGGGGCTCTTGGCTATAGGGAGGCTTAATTTTTTAATTTCTTTTTTTTTTTACTGTGTTGTCCTGTGTTAACAAACTGTGAAGAGCTGACAGTTGGCCTGAGCCAACAGAGAGAGGACACACAACTTTCTGTAGCTGGTAGCAACTTTGGTAGAACTGTAGCTGTCACATCATCCAGCAGCCTCTGAATCATCAGCTCCAATCATCGGGAACCCTTTTAGCACTGAATGGCTGGGTGTGGGTTTTGACCTATATCTAGATCACAATGCAGACCTACAAATTAAAACTTAGAGGGAGAATTTTTTAATTTCTTTTTTTTTTTACTGTGTTGTCCTGTGTTAACAAACTGTGAAGAGCTGACAGTTGGCCTGAGCCAACAGAGAGAGGACACACAACTTTCTGTAGCTGGTAGCAACTTTGGTAGAACTGTAGCTGTCACATCATCCAGCAGCCTCTGAATCATCAGCTCCAATCATCGGGAACCCTTTTAGCACTGAATGGCTGGGTGTGGGTTTTGACCTATATCTAGATCACAATGCAGACCTACAAATTAAAACTTAGAGGGAACTAGCTATTCTGAATTTCCTCTGGGCCCCTGAATCCTTAAGAGTAGCTTTGGTGGTAGCTATTCTGAATTTCTTCTGGGCCCCTGAATCCTTAAGAGTAGCTTTACATTTTTATTTTCTCTTGTTTTGACCAAGGACAGGTTGGAACAAATGCTGAAGAACAAATTTGTCACGTAAGTACTTCTATTTCAAAATGATCTGGAAGAGGGCTTTTGGGAAAAGAGTTCTTATTTTGTATATGTTCCCAAGTCAATGTCTTGTGGGTTAGCATAATGTCCTCAAAAGAGCATGAATTGCAGTTCCTTTTGTGCCTGTTCACCAGTTGCCCTTTCATCTCTGCATGAGACTGATATCCAAATCCGTTGGCCTTTCGCTTTTGCTTCCCTGGACAAGATCCTCTTTCTGTAAGGGCATTCTCCTCCTTCCAGCATGAACCTGTGCAGTGGTTTGCTCACTGTCTGGCTTGGGTTTGGCTTGGATGCTCTGCCTTCCTTCCTTCACACTTCCACTCCAATGGCTCTCTTTTATGAAACTGTTTTTGGATATTTAAAAATCCCAATCGATTGTCTATTCCCCATTGCCTGTGCAGCTCCTTTTCCCAGTTATCTGTGTGCTAAAGAACTGAGGGGTTTGGGTTTCCCTCCTTGGCCCCCAAGACTACTTCCTCTTCCCTAGTCTTGGCTACCTCTTCAAATAGGGGTGCTCTCATGAATAGAATCATATAATCATGGAATCTTTTAGGTTGGAAGGGACCTTTCAGATCATTGAGTCCAACCATCAACCTAACACTGACAAAAAATGTCACTAAACCACGGCCCTCAGCAGTACTTGTACCAGTCTTATAAATACTTCCAGAGATGGTGACTCCACCACGCCCTCAGCAGTACATGTACCAGTCTTATAAATGCCACCAGGGATGGTGACTCCACCACTGCCCTGGCCAGCCTGTTCCAATGCTTGATAACCCTTTCAGTGTAAAAAAATTTCCTAATATCCATCCTAAACCTCACCTGGTGCAACTTGAGGCCATTTCCTCTTGTCCTATTGCCAGTTACCTGGGAGAAGAGGCAGACTCCCCCTGGCTACACCCTCCTTTCAGGGGGTTGTAGAGAGTGAGGAGGTCTCCCCTCAGCCTCCTTTCCTCTAGTTCCCTCAGCCACTCCTCATAAGAGTTGTGCTCCAGGTCCTTCATCAGTTCCATTGCCCTTCTCTGGACATGCTCCAGCACCTTTTTGTAGTGAAGGGCCCAAAACTGGACACAATGCTCGAGGTAGGGCCACAGAACATTGTCAGGTTGCTCAGCCTGGGAGAAGAGGCAGACTCCCCCTGGCTACACCCTCCTTTCAGGGGGTTGTAGAGAGTGAGGAGGTCTCCCCTCAGCCTCCTTTTCTCCAGCTCCCTCAGCCGCTCCTCATAAGACTTGTGCTCCAGACCCTTCACCAGTTCCATTGCCCTTCTCTGGACCTGCTCCAGCACCTCAATGTCTTTCTTGTAATGAAGGGCCCAAAACTGGACACAGTGCTTGAGGCAGGGCCACAGAACATTGTCAGGTTGCTCAGCCCAGCACTGGGGTTCCTGTTAAGCAGCTACAGCCATGCTTGGGCAACAGGATCATTCATGATAAATCCTCTCTGTGCCTTGTGCCTGCACAGACACCATGGGAGGCCCAGTGAAGTCACTCTTTCTCCATATCAGTCCTCCTCTCTTTGAACCTAACTGATATTCCCAAAAGGACAGAATTTCACTCAGCTTCTCCCATGGTCCAAGAATAAGGAAAGTGAGTCAGTCCATCTCTCTCTGTCTTTCTCTTCACCAACTATTGGCAGATCTGGGGCATTCCTGCCTTACATCAGTTACATGTGTTGAGCTGATGGCACTGATATATCTCATTTGGACCACGGTCTTGCACAACCCAAACACATGGAACAATATTTTCCTTCCTGAGGTATTTCCTCCAAAAGCCTTCTCTGCATTAATGAAACCTTGTAAGATGAGTAGAAAGAACCCGTGCTCTTTAGGGAATTTTGGTTTCTAATTGGGTTTCGCCAATGATGCAGAGAGAGGAAATGACTATGATCAGGTTATTCTTTCTTCTTTCTGTCTAAATTTGCTTGGTATGTGGAAAACTTGTCAGCAGAAGTGTCTTCCGTTGAGTCTTCATTTCCAGTTATCAAACCGGCAGCATCTTTCATTGCACTTCTTGTTTGCTGTGCCACGATGCCATTCTTTTGTACTGGTAGAATCACAGAATGGTAAGGGTTGGAAGGGACCTCTGGACATCCTCTAATCCAACCCCCTGCCAAAGCAGGTCCACCCAGAGCAGGTTACACAGGAACACATCCAGACAGGTTTTGAATGTCTCCAGAGAAGGAGACTCCACACCCTCTCTGGGCAGCCTGTTCCAGGGCTCTGCCATCCTCAAAGTAAAGAAGTTTTTCCTCATGTTCTGATGGAATTTCCTCTGTTCCAGCTTGTGCCCATTAGCCCCTTGTCCTTAGCTATTCTGAATTTCCTCTGGGCCCCTGAATCCTTAAGAGTAGCTTTACATTTTTATTTTCTCTTGTTTTGACCAAGGACAGGTTGGAACAAATGCTGAAGAACAAATTTGTCACGTAAGTACTTCTATTTCAAAATGATCTGGAAGAGGGCTTTTGGGAAAAGAGTTCTTATTTTGTATATGTTCCCAAGTCAATGTCTTGTGGGTTAGCATAATGTCCTCAAAAGAGCATGAATTGCAGTTCCTTTTGTGCCTGTTCACCAGTTGCCCTTTCATCTCTGCATGAGACTGATATCCAAATCCGTTGGCCTTTCGCTTTTGCTTCCCTGGACAAGATCCTCTTTCTGTAAGGGCATTCTCCTCCTTCCAGCATGAACCTGTGCAGTGGTTTGCTCACTGTCTGGCTTGGGTTTGGCTTGGATGCTCTGCCTTCCTTCCTTCACACTTCCACTCCAATGGCTCTCTTTTATGAAACTGTTTTTGGATATTTAAAAATCCCAATCGATTGTCTATTCCCCATTGCTTGTGCAGCTCCTTTTCCCAGTTATCTGTGTGCTAAAGAACTGAGGGGTTTGGGTTTCCCTTCTTGGCCCCCAAGAATACTTCCTCTTCCCTAGTCTTGGCTACCTCTTCAAATAGGGGTGCTCTCATGAATAGAATCATAATCATGGAATCTTTTAGGTTGGAAGGGACCTTTCAGGTCATTGAGTTCAACCATCAACCTAACACTGACAAAAAACATCACTAAACCATGGCCCTCAGCAGTACATGTACCAGTCTTATAAATGCCACCAGGGATGGTGACTCCACCACTGCCCTGGCCAGCCTGTTCCAATGCTTGATAACCCTTTCAGTGTAAAAAAATTTCCTAATATCCATCCTAAACCTCACCTGGTGCAACTTGAGGCCATTTCCTCTTGTCCTATTGCCAGTTACCTGGGAGAAGAGGCAGACTCCCCCTGGCTACACCCTCCTTTCAGGGGGTTGTAGAGAGTGAGGAGGTCTCCCCTCAGCCTCCTTTTCTCCAGCTCCCTCAGCCACTCCTCATAAGACTTGTGCTCCAGGCCCTTCACCAGTTCCATTGCCCTTCTCTGGACATGCTCCAGCACCTTTTTGTAGTGAAGGGCCCAAAACTGGACACAATGCTCGAGGTAGGGCCACAGAACATTGTCAGGTTGCTCAGCCCAGCACTGGGGTTCCTGTTAAGCAGCTACAGCCATGCTTGGGCAACAGGATCATTCATGATAAATCCTCTCTGTGCCTTGTGCCTGCACAGACACCATGGGAGGCCCCAGTGAAGTCACTCTTTCTCCATATCAGTCCTCCTCTCCTTGAACCTAACTGATATTCCCAAAAGGACAGAATTTTACTCAGTTTCTCCCATGGTCCAAGAATAAGGAAAGTGAGTCAGTCCATCTCTCTCTGTCTTTCTCTTCACCAACTACTGGCAGATCTGGGGCATTCCTGCCTTACATCAGTTACATGTGTTGAGCTGATGGCACTGATATATCTCATTTGGACCACGGTCTTGCACAACCCAAACACATGGAACAATATTTTCCTTCCTGAGGTATTTCCTCCAAAAGCCTTCTCTGCATTAATGAAACCTTGTAAGATGAGTAGAAAGAACCCGTGCTCTTTAGGGAATTTGGGTTCCAATTGGATTTCGCCAATGATGCAGAGAGATTAAATGACTATGATCAGGTTATTCTTTCTTCTTTCTGTCTAAATTTGCTTGGTATGTGGAAAACTTGTCAGCAGAAGTGTCTTCCGTTGAGTCTTCATTTCCAGTTATCAAACCGGCAGCATCTTTCATTGCACTTCTTGTTTGCTGTGCCACGATGCCATTCTTTTGTACTGGTAGAATCACAGAATGGTAAGGGTTGGAAGGGACCTCTGGAGATCCTCTAGTCCAACCCCCTGCCAAAGCAGGTCCACCCAGAGCAGGTTACACAGGAACACATCCAGACAGGTTTTGAATGTCTCCAGAGAAGGAGACTCCACACCCTCTCTGGGCAGCCTGTTCCAGGGCTCTGCCATCCTCAAAGTAAAGAAGTTTTTCCTCATGTTCTGATGGAATTTCCTCTGTTCCAGCTTGTGCCCATTAGCCCCTTGTCCTGTCATTGGGCACCACTGAAGAGTCTGGCCCCATCCTCTTGACACCCACCCTTTAGAAACTGATAAGCGTTGATGAGTTCCCCCCTCAGTCTTTTCTTCTCCAGGCTAAACAGATCCAGGTCTTCTCAGCCGTTCCTCGTGAAACAGATGCTCTAGTCCCTTGAGCTTCTTCACAGGCCTGCACTGGACTCTCTCCAATAATTCTTTGTCTTTATTGAACTGGGGATCCAAGAGCTGGACACAGTACTCCAGATGTGGCCTCACCAAGGCAGAGCAAAGGGCAAGGATGAGCTCCCTCAACCTGCTGACCATGCTCTTCTTAATGCACTCCAGGAGACCATTGGCCTTGGCCACAAGGGCATGTTGGTGGCCCATGGTCAATGTGTTGCCCACCAGGGCTCCAAGGTCTCTCTCTGCAGAGCTGCTCTCCAGCAGGTCAGCCTCCAGCCTCTTCTGGTGCATGGTACCTCCCTTGGTGCCGCACCCTACACTTGTCCTTGTTGAACTTCACATTCTGGTGCATGGTACCTCCCTTGGTGCAGCACTTGTCCTTGTTGAACTTCACTAGGTTCCTCTTCGCCCAACTCTTGCCTGTCCAGCTCTTACTGTACGGTGGCACAACCTTCTGGTGTGTCATCCCAGTTTTGTGTCAAACTTGCTGAGGGTACTCTCTGTGCCCTCATCCAGGTCATGGATGATACATTGAATAAGACTGGATCCAGTACTGACCCTTGGAGAGCACCATGAGTCACAGGCTTCCAACTCCAGGAAGTTGGTGGAGAACCTGCTCTCGGATCTGTCAGAGGAGTAAACAAACATTGCTGCAAACAAATCTTTCAGTTTTTGCAAAGCAAAATGAAAATGTTTGAGCTACAAGCCCTTTGCACTCTGGGCTGTTATTTCTGCCTGACAGCATCCTGAAGGGCAGAGCTGTGTTGCTGGAGCTGTGCCAATGTGGGCACATTGTTTTTTTAAAAAAACAAAAAACAAACCCACCCAACTATTTCAGTGAAGCAATTCTCCGAAGAGCTCGCTTCTGACTGAAATGCAACGTTGCAATAATGCAAAAGTGTCTCGAGAGCTTAGCGCTTCCTGCCCTGCCTGTTGCTGAAGCACAGGAAGACATAGGGTTCTTGCCATATAAATTGTTTTTTGGTTTCGGTCCAAAGCAGCGTTGCTGGGAAGTCTGACATCACAGCTCCAAGTTGGCACAGTGGTGGGGAAATGCCTCCTTAATTTTCCAGCGCGGCACTTCGCCAGTAAACTTTCTTGTTATTCCTTTCGTAGTTATCTTAAAGACTTTTTTTTTTTTTTTTTCCTCTTGCAGAATTTCCTACAGTGAGGCAGTGGAAATTTTGAAGCAGGCTTCTCAAACTTTCACTTTCAAGCCAGAGGTAGGTACTTGCCTGGTGGCTTATCCCCGTGCCTGTTCATGGGCATGGCCAGCCTGAACTTTGAAAATCTCACAGAATCATCTAGGCTGGAAGAGACCCTCGGGATCATCGAGTCCAACCATCTACCCTACTCTAAAGTTCTCCCCTACACCATATCCCCCAACACCACATCTAAACGGTTCTTAAACACATCCAGGGATGGTGACTCAACCACCTCCCTGGGCAGCCTATTCCAATGCCCGACCACTCTCTCTGAATCTCCTTTCTCTCTTTCTGATACCACGAGAGTCGTTACTTCGTAAGTCGTTACTTACAGGTTATCTGCCTCCCGGGGTGCTTGCTGAGCTGTAACCCAGTGTTATGGTTTGAGAAACCCATAATAATTTATTGTCATTTAGACAATTATTCTATCACCCATGACCCTTCCCAATCCAGGAAGGGGAATCAGGGAAAAACAAAGAAACAACAAGGGTTGAAATATAAATAGATTTAGTATTTCACTGAATTTCACTGAATTTTTTAGAGTTGGAAGGGACCATAGAGATCTTCTAGTCCAACTCCCCTGCCAAAGCAGGACCACCCAGAGCTTGTCAGAGCATGTTACTCAGGACTGCATCCAGGCAGGTCTTGAAAATTTCCAAGGAAGGGGACCCCACAACCTCCCTGGGCAGCCTGTTCCAGGGCTCCGTCACCCTCACCGTGAAAAAGTTCTTCCTCATATTTAAGTGGAACCTCTTATGTTCCAACTTGTGCCCATTGCCCCTCGTCCTCTCACTGGGAACCACTGAAAAGAGTCTGGCTCCCTCCTCCCTCAGCCCGCCCTTGAGATACTTGTAGGCATTAGTAAGGTCTCCCCTCAGCCTTCTCTTCTCCAGACTAAAGAGTCCCAGCTCTTTCAGCCTCTCCTCATAAGGGAGATGCTCCAATCCTTGAATCATCTTTGTAGCCCTACGCTGGACTCTTTCCAGTAGTTCCTTGTCTCTCTTGAACTGGGGAGCCCAGAACTGGACGCAGTATTCCAGTTGTGGCCTCACCAGTGCAGAGTAGAGGAGCAGAATGACCTCCCTTGACCTGCTGGCCACACTCTTTCCTATACAGCCCAGATAAGACTAAATAATTAATATTAATAATAATAAAGAACCAGTATTGATCCCAGTACCAACATTAAATACACAAGGATTATACTCAGCCCATTCTATCAGCAGGAAGCTGTGTGCTCCCAGCAGGGGACAGCAAATGTGGGACACTGTGAGCGCTGTGGCCTCCGAAAGAAGGGAAGGGCTCAGGGGTCCAGCACCAGGGCAAGAAGTTCTCTGGATGGCAGCCATCAATTGAGAGAGAGAGAACCGCACAGCAAACTTTCTAATTTATACTGAATGTGACATTTATGGTATGAAATAACCCTGTTGGCAGCTTCGGTCAAGTGCCCGGGTCTCTCGCTTCTCCTCATCCCTGCACCTGTCAAGCTCGAAAACACCGAGACCTTGAAACCTACATACCACAGCTGGCTATAAAGTAAATACTTTCATCAATTAAAACACAAGGGTTTTCTAAAAGTGCAGTTTTCCCAAGCATTAGAAGAGAAATTAGTCCTGTGTTGCTCAAACCAGACACTCAGGTATAACTTTTGCCCTTTGGGGTTGAAATGGGAGCAATATAAAGGAGTGAGATCTGCAGCATAAGAACATGTGGTATTTGCAGGAAAGGAAGTGATGAATTTGCTGTTGAAGGACTGGAGCTGTAGTAAAGATGCTTCTCTTTCCTGTCTGTGAGTAGTGCTGAGTGTGGATTCAGTGGCAATCATCTGAGGAGAGTTGCTGCAGCAGTCATCAAACAAAGGAATGATATTGGGATAGAATCAAAAGTTTGACAAGGACTAATAAGCCAAAACCATGTCAAAATAATGTGTAAGCTAGATGTAGGTAAAGGGAATCCCTTGTCTTTCCAAAGCATATTGAGTGGGAAAAAATACCATGTGTTACTCTTTCTGTTTTCTAAAAATCATATTTTGCCCAATTTCAAACATACAGACCCCAGTAGGGAGCGCTTTCTTGGTGGTGCTCATCTCGTGTGTACTAATTAATCTTTATCTCATTCTGCTGCTTTGAGGAAAAGAACCCTCTGGCTGAAGCCACCTGCGTAGCCCATTGCATGGCTGTCTCCTCTCTGTGTACTAGTGGGTGTAGAACCTTAAATCCTGTATCTACTGCCTTAATCTGAGACAGCAAACTCAGGATATTTTCAGATGAGGAGAGTCTGCAGAATATCTGTTCCCCTCTTCTTTCCACTCCCATAATATTCTTTGCATATCCTGTAATGGACTGGAGGTCTCTTGTCAAAAGCCACAGAATTTATAACAGCACTGGGAGAAAGGAGAAGTGAAGGACATTGGAAATGTCCAAGGCTTCTGATAACAAAGAATTGGTTAATAGGATGCTGGGTTTTCTTAAGTGAGAATTAATGTAGCATGTAAGAGGACACAGCAGGGAAGAGGGCGGCGAGCCCAGCAAAGCTGCTTTCTATAAACCAAAGATAATACTGAAATAAAGCTGGTTTCTGGGTTGAGTAAGCTGGCTTTGGATGGGTGCCTGTTTCCCTTAAGTTATGCAGAGTGTGGGTTTTGGTTTGGTTTTTGTTTGTTTGTTTGGGGTTGTTTTTTTTTCTGATTTGATACCACATGCTTGGGCTTGGTGCAGGGATGAGCTGGCCCTGTTCCGTAAAAGTCAAACCATGTTATTTTCATTGCTTTGCTCTGCCTTAAAACTCGTAAAACTCCGTCTGCTGAGCAGATTTTTCCCAGTGGCCTGGTGAGAAGTTGCTCTGCTTGGTTTCATGTCATTCAGAGCTGTACATCTCTCCTGCGCAGGGATTTTGCTGGGTCTCTTGCCACAAGCAGGATCTCAGGTCCCTTTTGCTGTCTTTACAGTGGGGCTGCGACCTCCAAACAGAACACGAAAAGTACCTGGTGAAGCACTGCGGTGATGTTCCCCTGTTTGTGATCAACTACCCATATGACCTCAAGCCTTTCTACATGCGGGACAACGAAGATGGACCTCAACACACAGTGAGTCCATAGGTCACACTTCCACCTCTTTTTTTGGCTAGGTCTTAGCCTTCTGAGAGACAGACAGATGAGGATCTGCTGGCCCTCCAGTCCAGAAGTCCAAGATAAGACATGCCCATCAGGTGATCCTCTTCTGTCGTTTTCCTGTTGTAGAAGGAATCCTCAAAGCAGGAACAACAGGAGAAGGATTCAGGAGTTGGGTAGCGTCGAGTTTTTGCTAAGTCCTTTAAGACAGATTTGCAATAGTTTAATTTTTTTTTCCTGGTAGACTTGTGTACTACTAGGTGAAATACCTGGAATTGCATGACTCTGAGCAGCCCGTGAATCTCTTGTCATCCAAATCTACCATCTGTGTAATTCTCAAGTAGCAGATGGACACAAGACGTAAACTCTTCCTCCACAAGTCTCGTGCTTTGAAGGTGTGAATTCTCAGCTGAACTGAGACAACCTGAAACATTGCTTCTGCTGAAAAGAGCTGCTACCCCACTGTGTGCCACTGTCACTTCACAGCTCAGCTGTGGGTGAAGGTGCTCTACAAAACAAAACAGAGAAGAAAACCAGGCCAAAGCTAACAGCAGAGGTGATAACACTGGAATCTGAACACTTGAATCAGCACATCAAGTGCCGTTGGGCCATTTGTACCTTTACCAATCCCTACAGCTTGCTCAAGGAATGGGGGCAGATGGGGTAAACCCACGTTGCAAGCATCAGAGCAGCTTAAACTTTAAGGGAATCAGGGCTTCAAAGCCCTGTCCAACCTGGCCTTGAACACCTCCCAGGATGGGGCAGCCACAGCTTCTCTGGGCAACCTGGGCCAGTGTCTCGCCACCCTCACAGCAAAGAATTTCTTCCTAACATCTAATCTAAATCTCCCCTCTTTCAGTTTAAAATCATTACCCCTTATCCATTGATCCACTCCCTGATCAAAAGTCTCTCCCCCATCTCTCCTGTAGGTCCCCTTTAGGTATTGGAAGGGGTTCTAAGGTCTCCCCGGAGCCTTCTCTTCTCCAGGCTGAACACCCCCAACTCTCTCAGCCTGTCCTCATAGGAGAGGTGCTCCAGCCCTTTTTTAGGTTTCCTATAGGCTTACTAATTTTTATCATTGTAAAGTTCCCTCCCAGCCTTCTCCTGTCAACAAGGGACTTTTCAAGCATTTGCAAATACTTACCTAAGTGTCCTGGTCTCAATAAAAGAATTACAGTGGCTTTTTACAAACAGCCATCTGGTGTCAACTGTACTTCTGCTGTAGCCTCTGTGGCCACATGGGATGACTCACGTTGGGTTTCTGTCCTTTAAGGTTGCAGCTGTTGATCTCCTGGTACCAGGAATTGGGGAATTGTGTGGAGGCAGCTTGAGAGAGGAGCGACTGCCCTTCCTTGAATCACGCTTACAGAGGTACGGAAAACCTGCAGGTGCCAGGAAACCAGCCTGACCAAGAGAGCATTTCAGCAGCTTGCAGTGGTTGGCAAGACAGAGGGAGCAGAAGGTCAGCTAATGCTGTTTAAAAAAAGCCTATTTTTATCTTTGAGATATCTATTTGAGATATCTTTGAGATATCTATCTGAGTAGGTGATCACCAACTGGTGAAGAAGTTCTTGTGCTTCTGCTGTAGGTATGCAAACTGCCTCTCTGATTTAGCTCTTCAGAGAAGAAGAGTTTAGTTTCTGCTAGGAGGCCATGGCAGCAGAATGGGACAATCATCTGGAAGATGGCCTGATATGAGGCATTCACCCTTGAGCCTTTTCTTCGCAGCTTTTGTGGCTGTGAGAGGCTTGCGAAGGTGGAAGTTGTCATGTAGATGAAACTTAGATGTATTTGTCATCGTGTTGTGTAAGGCAGGAACTGCAGCTTGGGTCAGAAGCTCTGCTGTGATGCAGAACCACCATTTCAGAGAACGTGGTTCTTTGCTAACAGTTTGGTGGGAGTCTTCTCTGGAACCACCTGCAACCTGGACTATGTCATCTGGGCTATGGGTCATCTTTCCCTGCTACTTAGTTCTGGATCATATGAGTTTGAGTAATTTCAGGCTAAATTCACTATCAGAATATCAAAGCTGCTGTTTGGTTAACAGTAATTAACATTATGGATGGGGTAATTCTCCATAGACAATTACTCCCTGGGTCCTCGCTGATTGTTCACAAGAACCTTTCATAACTGTGATGAGTCCATTTGGGCCAGTCATACACTTGTGGAAAGCAATTTTGGAGGAGGATTAGTCCCAGAGCAACACCGTTTGCACACTGGGAATGAATTTGTTGCTTAAATCAGCCACGTGCTCCCAGAGATAGAGCTACTCAGTGGAGAAGAGCAAAATCCATTTCAGCATCATGAATCCGAAAGGCGCAGGGCAATTAAAATCACCAGAACATTGGTTCTCAATTGCTGGTGTAGGATGATATTGCTCCCTGGGCTTCCTGCTGCAATTTTTTCTCTTCAAATTTTTACCAGTAAGATCTAGAGTCCACGGCCCTCAAGGTGTGCAGCTGGAGGAGGCATCCTCGTGGAGGCTGAAAACAGACTTTCTTGTTTGTCAGGGAAGTCACAGAAAGTATTTCAAGCTACAGATGGGGTGTGTCTTCAGTGACCTTAAAGTACAGCTCTGCACTGAAGACTACCTGGAAAAATAACACCTCTTTTCACATGGTTTTTCTCAGTTTTGAGTACTCAGGATCTGATCTGCTGAGTTCAGGCTTTTAAATTCTACTTCCTGCACACCCGGCGTAACGAAGGGAGATAAAGAAGGGGATTCTTGTCTCCTTATACACCCTTCATACAATAGCTCTCCAAGTCCAAGTCACTGGGACAGCTGCAAAGCACCGAAGATGAGAGAAGTGATCTCTCTTTGCTTACAGCCTTTTCTGTCCATGTTCAAAGAAATGAGAAAAAAGAACCACCCAACAACTTTGTTCTGGTTCTGCCAGGGCAGGAAAAGGAGAGAGAGTGCACAATTAGAAAAAGACATATTTTATTTACTAATTTTACAGAAGTTGACACACGTTATTAAAGCTATTATTAAAGAGTTCAGTGGTTTTGTCCACTATGGAAGGGGAACCACATAGCCACACAAGTGAAGAGAGATTTTTGACTCTCTCATAAATGAGGTTGGCTGCATGTCATTGTAAATTTAATATTCAGGCCTGTACTCTCCAAACATTCACAAGCAGAGTTTAGTGATATGCTCAAAGTTAAGAATATGCACAATGAAGCTGGGATCAACCCTGTATGTTGACAAAACAAACTTTGCATTTTAAGAAGCATGTTGGGAATCTGTTCAAGATTGTCTGCTGATTACCAGAACTGACAGCCGCTAATTGTATCTTCCCTTAATTTCCTGCCTTTCCTTTTTGGACTGAATTTAGTCATCAGACCCTCCCTTTTCTTGTAGCATTCTCTTCCAGGCAAGTGCTGTTTGTGCGGATCTCCTCTCTTCCTTTACTTACAGGGGTTTCTCTTTTTGTTCCACAGATTAGGACTCACGGATTCCTACCAATGGTAAGACACTTGCTTGGTCTGCAAGCTCTATTTCTTCTTTTGAGACTCTTTAGAAAACTATTTCATTTTTTTTGATCCTGTTCTTGAGGGAACGTTTCTTGGCCCAGTTGCCCTGTCATCGCTGCCAGTCTAAATGGAACGGCCAGTTCATTTAAACAAAGTTTAATCCGATGCTACTTAGTTTGTCTTCCCAATTTGTAAACTCACAGCATAGGTCATTCCTTTCAGGATGGCATGAAGTGGATTAATTTACAACCCATGAATGATTTTTGATATTAAATCATTAAGCTGTGTTCCATGTTGAATAGATTCTGACCGCCATCGCACCAGATAAACAAGTTACGGAACCACAAGCAATTTGTGACCTTTAACAGCCCTATGAATAACTCCCTTTGCAATTGACAGGGCAATCGGGTCGAAAAATCTACCCTAACAAAGCGGTTGAAGCAATTAAAACTGTCCTGCTAAGGAGACAAAACAACCTTTGAATTAATGGTTTAGCCTATTAAAACGACGGAAGTATCTTAGTGTTCCTCTTGACAAGTGTTTCTCGGTACGTACTTTGTCATAGCTACTGAAAGGGTGATAGTGCAGAGAATTTTAAATTTAGAAGAGTATATTCACATACTCCGCAGTATTTGGAATGATCGTTAGGGAGGCTGCTTTGAAAAAAAGCAGAGTAGTGTAGGATTCTTCACTCTCCTCTTCCCACAGTATGAAATCACTTAGAAACAGCCCATTGCACGACAAAGCTTTACATCATCTATTTGCCAACAGGGTGAATAAAATGTCTTCCTGTATTGTTTGCGTTTATGGGCCAGAATACACCATATCACTTCATCTGAGGGAAGGATTATCCTGACCAGGGGTAGTCAGTTGTGTGGTTTGATGCTGTGATACAGCCTGAGGAAGTCTGGTGTTCAGTGACAGAGCCTTCCAGCTCAGCCTTGCCTCATGCTTCCCTCAAGAGAGAAGATTGAGACCTTGCCCATCACCCATTTGCATTTCCGTGTGTTATGTAGCAATCACATTCTGGAAATTCTTTCCTCCTGTAATCTTGTTTTGGAGACTCTTTTCCTCCTCTGTTCCATCTGATGTTCCACAGATGATGTAACTTAGCAGAGAAGATGGAAACTGTTGTTGCCTCCTGCCATAGCAGGGGCTGGTGTCCCAAGAAGGTGCAGGATAGGAATAATCCTGGATGCTTCTGGACTCTGGTCCAGAATCTGCCAGAAAACAGGTAGGGGGTTTGCCAGCATCCATCTTTTCAGCAGAGGTGACAGGAGAGGCTGAAATTAATCTCCCCCAATTTAGTGATTGAATTTATCCAAAGCTGGCTCACAAGCTCCTTGAAGAACAGTTGAGTCATTCCTTTTTAAATATAATATTTGCTGACCTTAGAATGAGCAGCTGTATGGGATGTGGTCCCTTTTGAAATCTCTTTATGTATCTCTTTTTCTACCTGTTTTGCTCTCCTGCTGAGCGGGAGGATACTGGGAGGGCTCACTACCTCTAGGACAACTTGTCTGTGGGAGAGTCACTGGGCAAAGAGGCAACTGATGATCCGAGATACTGTTGTGCTTTTGCCCATTCCTAATTTTTAGAAAGCTTTTAAACAGAAGTAGATAAAGGGACATGGTCAAAGTCCTCTGAATCTTCTTCACTTCACTCCATCTTTCCTGTTGTGGAGGTTTCTTTCCATAAAGAGTATAAATTGCTGAAGTATTTGACTTGATTTTGCAGATTTATTTTCTCTCATTTTCACACTCATTCCTCTGAACTTAGATAGAAAGGAGCTCAGTGCTGTAGATGCTGATCTTGGCCAGACTCAGAGAGGTCTGAGGAACTGAGATGAGGAAGTCGGGTGATCAGAATTGACTGGCAAATCACTTGTTTTCTCTGTGAATGGGGAGTATTGAGTATATTGCCTTGTAATGGGGATTCTGATCCCCTTTGCAGCCTCCAAGTGCCAGCTTAGCACGAGCAATAACAAAGCAGGTACTTTGCAATGAACAACATGTCCTCACTACCATCAGCTTGTGCATTGTCCTGGTTTTGGCTGGGGGTTGAGCTAATTTTCTTCACAGTAGCTTGTGTGGGGCTGTGGTTTGGATTTGGCAGCCGTGCTGATAACACAGGGATGTTTTATTGCTGAGCAGGACTTAGTCATGGCCTTTTCTGCTCCTCACACCGACCCACCAGCAAGTAGGCTTGGGGGTGGCACAAGATCATAGAATCACAGAATGGTTAGAGTTGGAAGGGACCTTAAAGATCATCCCGTTCCAACCCCCTGCCATGGGCAGAGACACCTCCCACCAGACCAGGTTGCTCCAAGCCCCATCCAGCCTGGCCTTGAACCCCTCCAGGGATGGGGCAGCCCCAGCTTCTCTGGGCAACCTGTTCCAGTGTCTCACCACCCTCACAGGAAAGAATTTCTTTCTGATATCTGATCTAAATCTCCCCTCTTCCAATTTAAAACCATTACCCCTTGTCCTTTCACTACACTTCCTGACAAAGAGTCCCTCCCCAGCTCTCCTGTAGGCACCCTTCAGATATTGGAAGGCTGCTGTAAGGTCTCCCTGGATCCTTCTCTTCTCCAGGCTGAACAACCTGAGCTCTCTCAGCCTGTCCTCATAGGAGAGGTGCTCCATCCCTCTGATCATCTTCGTGGCCCTCCGCTGTACCCATCCAACAGGTCCATGGCCTTTCTATGTTGAGAACTCTGGAGCTGGACACAGTGCTCCAGGTGGGGTTTCACGAGTGCAGAGTCACCTCCCACGACCTGCTGGCCACATTTCTTTTGATGCAGCCCAGGATGCAATCCAGGTACCTTTCTGATCTTCTGGTGTAACACTGGTGGAAGCACACAGTAGCAGAGCAGAGCAGGTGTTATCTGCCATCTTAGAATGGATATTACTATGTTGCCTTGCTTCTGCTCTAGAAGGAGAACGTCGAGCTGTGTTGGACTCTTTAATTTCTAATGTTCTTTAAAGCTTGAATGCTGGAGTGTTCTGTTGGGTCCTTGTGTGGCAAGGTAGAATGGAGGAGTTGGAACAGCAGCACTGGTGAGCCACCTGCGATTCATGGCCAGTGACAGCATTTCTTATCATCCTTTAACATCCTTCAGATCCCAGCAAAAACATTTAACCCATCACTGCCCTTGGTGTGGGTGCCTGGTCCTGTTACTCCTGCTCTGGGGAGAAACCAGAGCGCTGTGCTGGGCCGTACAGGGGCAGGCAGAAAGTCAGTGCTAAAGGCAGCCAAAACTTGCCCAAACCCCACTTGTGTCGATGGGAATGTTTTAGATAGACCTCCTTGAATGCTTTTTTTTTTTTGGTGTGGATTCCCCAAAAGTTGTAACAGAACAGAAGCTGTCTGAAACCAAAGACAGCATTTTACCCAGCGTCAGAACCTGGTGATACTTTGCGTGTTTATTTCCTGAAACGTTCAACAAAATGGTCTCTCAAATGTCATTTCACTAGTAGTTTTTCATTACCCTCCTTTTTTTTTTCCCATTTTTCTCCCAGTAGAATATTCAGCTCCATAGACTGCAATATCTTTGTTCTTTCAGCCTTACTTTTTTCCAACTGGCTGCGGAGGCTTTAGTATAACAAGCTGGTTACATAAAAGATCAAAATTATATTTGTTTTGAAAGGAGACCGAAAATATTACATTCTGCTTATGAATGGTCACTGAGAAAGCACTGATCTTCAACAGTGCCTTGCCGTGCAGCGCAGGAGCTCGTGATGATAAAAGGGTATAGATTTTTAAAAGGATAAAAGGAAATGCTTTTCTAACTTGGCACATAACAAGCTCCTGGAATTCACTGCCAGGGGATGTTGTTGCAGCACATACTTTAGTAAGATTCAAATCTCTGCAGAAGTCCTCCAGGTCCAGAATGTGAACTCTGGGCCTGGCTGGGGTCACAGAAACTTATTTCCCCAGTGGAATAATGTTGCAGAGTCCCCCAGTTGCCAATGGAGGGCTCAGCTCTTCTCTTAGGTTACCATCTACTAGGAGAAATAGCTGGACTAGTTCATGACTGGTTTTGAGGTGAGAAGCATCCAATGTCTGGAGACTGTTGAATGAAGGAAAACCCCAGGGAGCGTTTTCCAGCCTAAAGGGAATTTTCTCTTCATCTGCAGGCAGTTACTTTTTCTTTCATCTGGGAAGAATGGAAAATTTTCTCAATTCCTTTGCTGCTTCTAAGCACGGGCGTCAGAAAGGTTTCGCAGGCTTGATCCTCAGCACGTTTAATTCAATGGACTTTTTCCATTAACTTTAATGGGTTTTGTTTCGCTCCTTTTGCCAAAATGGCCTCTCAAAGTGCTTTGAGATCTCCAGATGAAAGCCCTGGATAAGCAAGGGTAGAATTTATTGTTATTGTTCATCTGGAAGAAGCGAGAGTTATTTCATTTCCTTACAATGACTTTATAAACTCTGTTGCCAGCAAATGGGGAAAAAAAGATGCTAAGCTTAGTCTCAACTGGCTTTGCACAGCCTGAGATATGTCATCAGAAATATTTGTGCGGGTTTTTATATTACCAGTTGCAAGTTAGAGTTGTCACCATCTGGTTTGCCAGTTCTGCTCAGAACTACTGAGCTCGTTACAGATTGATCAGCCACGGGCAGCACCCACATCCCTCACATTCACGAGGTCTTTCCTATTTCCCAAGTCCCCACCCTCTGCATCAGATCTGCCCACTGTCTTCCTCGCAAACCCTTGAGAAGCTGCTCAGAGGAGCTCCCTGGGGGCAGTTCCCAGTGTAATAGTGGAAATTCAAGTCTTCTTAATGCAGTCTGTATGGAGAGCATATGGATGAAGGCCACCATGCTGTTGCACAGCCTATTCCCAGTGTAATAGCGGAAATTCAAGTCTTAATGCAGTCTGTATGGAGTGCATACGGATGAAGGCCACCATGCTGTTGCACAGCCTACATAGAATCATGGAATGGTTAGAGTTGGAAGGGACCTTAAAGATTATCAAGTTCCAACCCCATGCCATGGGCAGGGACACCTCCCACCAGACCAGGTTGCTCAAAGACTCATCCAGCCTGGCCTTGAACCTCTCCAGGGATGGGGCAGCCACAGCTTCTCTGGGCAATATCCTATCCATGTTCATATGCTAAGCATAGTCTTCATCACAAGCTGTGGGGTGGATGCAACTAAGCCTCAGCAAGCCAAGCTAACACCCAGCAGTACAGAGAGATCCCAGTCTCAAGCCTGTGGATCAACTTGCAGTGTAGGAAAAACTGCACTCTGTGTGTGTCAGTGCTAGTAGGAAGAGGCATGAAGTTATAGAATCATAGAATGGTTAGAGTTGGAAGTTAAAGATCATCCAGTTCCAACCCCCTGCCATGAGCAGGGACACCTCCCACCAGACCAGGTTGCTCAAAGCCTCATCCAGCCTGGCCTTGAACCCCTCCAGGGATGGGGCATCCACAACTTCTCTGAGTCGTCTAGGTTGGAAGGGACCTTTCAGATCATTAAGTCCAACCATCAACCCAACACTGACAAAAACCATCACTAAACCATGTGCCTCAGTGCCACATCTACCTGTCTTTTAAATACCTCCAGGGATGGTGACTCCACTTCCCTGGGCAGCCTGTTCGAATGTTTGATAACACTTTCAGTGAAGAAATTTTTCATTGTTTCCATCTTAAACCTCCCCTGGTGCAACTTGAGGCTATTTCCTCATGTTACCTGGGAGAAGAGACTGACCCCCTCGGCTACACCCTCCTTTCAGGGAGTTGTAGAGAGCGAGAAGACCTCCCCTCAGCCTCCTTTTCTTCAGGCTGAACACCCCCAGATCCATCAGCTGCTCCTCATAAGACTTACTCTCCAGACCCCTCACCAGCTCCATTGCCCTTCTCTGGACACACTCCAGCCCCTCAATGGCTTTCCTGTTGTGAGGGACCCAAAACTTGACCCAGCCCTCAAGGTGGGGCCTCACCAGTCCAGGGGGGCGATCACTTCCCTAGTCCTGCTGGCCACTCTATTCCTGATACAGGCCAGGATGCTGTTGGCTTTCTTGGCCACCTGGACACACTGCTGGCTCACATTCTGTGTTCTGAGAATTCATAATCTGTGACTATGAAGTTCTGCTTCTAGTTTTGCTGCTTGGGCAGTGGAGCAGAGGGGAAAAACACTGGGGGAAAATCCCTGAAGATTGGATGAATGAACTGCAAAGAAAAAGTGTATTTTATAGTGTGGTATATACATATGTATTTATATATGTTTATATATATATTTATATGTAAAATATACATTATATACATTTCAGTGTACCTGCTTGGATATATGTATATAAAGTGAACTTGCTTGGAGGTCCACATGCTTCAGAATTTTGTTGGGTTGAACACTGCATTTTGAGAGTGCAGCCAAAGCCACTGATCACCTCTACTTTTGAAATAGAAGTATTCTCCAACAAATTCTACAGCTGCAAGGGATCACTCTGGCAGACTCGCTTTGACAGTATACGTTTTATGTAATGAAATATTATTTTTCCTTGCAGTTCATTAACAGGAGTTAAAATTTGGGAAGCCATTTATTAATTGTTTCCATCTTAAACCTCCCCTGGTGCAACTTGAGGCTATTTCCTCATGTTACCTGGGAGAAGAGACTGACCCCCTCGGCTACACCCTCCTTTCAGGGAGTTGTAGAGAGCGAGAAGACCTCCCCTCAGCCTCCTTTTCTTCAGGCTGAACACCCCCAGATCCATCAGCTGCTCCTCATAAGACTTACTCTCCAGACCCCTCACCAGCTCCATTGCCCTTCTCTGGACACACTCCAGCCCCTCAATGGCTTTCCTGTTGTGAGGGACCCAAAACTTGACCCAGCCCTCAAGGTGGGGCCTCACCAGTCCAGGGGGGCGATCACTTCCCTAGTCCTGCTGGCCACTCTATTCCTGATACAGGCCAGGATGCTGTTGGCTTTCTTGGCCACCTGGACACACTGCTGGCTCACATTCTGTGTTCTGAGAATTCATAATCTGTGACTATGAAGTTCTGCTTCTAGTTTTGCTGCTTGGGCAGTGGAGCAGAGGGGAAAAACACTGGGGGAAAATCCCTGAAGATTGGATGAATGAACTGCAAAGAAAAAGTGTATTTTATAGTGTGGTATATACATATGTATTTATATATGTTTATATATATATTTATATGTAAAATATACATTATATACATTTCAGTGTACCTGCTTGGATATATGTATATAAAGTGAACTTGCTTGGAGGTCCACATGCTTCAGAATTTTGTTGGGTTGAACACTGCATTTTGAGAGTGCAGCCAAAGCCACTGATCACCTCTACTTTTGAAATAGAAGTATTCTCCAACAAATTCTACAGCTGCAAGGGATCACTCTGGCAGACTCGCTTTGACAGTATACGTTTTATGTAATGAAATATTATTTTTCCTTGCAGTTCATTAACAGGAGTTAAAATTTGGGAAGCCATTTATTATGATGAATCCAATCTTAATTTTTTTTTTCACAGTGCTTTTTCTCCTCCACTCAACTACCAAAGTAGTAAAACATACATATATATTTAAGTGTACTTGATTTTTTTTTTTTTTTAAACTGGGATGATAAAATATTCGTGCACGAAGATTAGAAGCATGTAATACATCTGGAGTCACTCAGTCCCTTCCTAGTGAATTCATATAAAGAAAAATAACTTTTATGAAGTTCTGCTTCTAGTTTTGCTGCTTGGGCAGTGGAGCAGAGGGGAAAAACACTGGGGGAAAATCCCTGAAGATTGGATGAATGAACTGCAAAGAAAAAGTGTATTTTATAGTGTGGTATATACATATGTATTTATATATGTTTATATATATATTTATATGTAAAATATACATTATATACATTTCAGTGTACTTGCTTGAATATATGTATATAAAGTTTACTTGCTTGGAGGTCCACGTGCTTCAGAATTTTGTTGGCTTCAAGACTGCATTTTGAGAGTGAAGCCAAAGCCACTGATCACCTCTACTTGCAAAATAGAAATATTCTGCAACAAATTCTACAGCTGCAAGGGATCACTCGGGCAGACTCACTTTGACAGTATACCTTTCGTGCCATGATATATTATTTTTCCTTGCAGTTCATTAACAGGAGTTAAAATTTGGGAAGCCATTTATTATGATGAATCCAATCTTAATTTTTTTTTTTCACGGTGCTTTTTCTCCTCCACTCAACTATCAAAGTAGTAAAACATACATATATATTTAAGTGTACTTGATTATTTTTTTTTTTTTTTTAAACTGGGATGATAAAATATTCGTGCACGAAGATTAGAAGCATGTAATACATCTGGAGTCACTCAGTCCCTTCCTAGTGAATTCATATAAAGAAAAATAACTTTATGGCCTCAGCGAGCTCAGAAGTGGCCCCGTAAATCAATAGAACCACTGAGATGTTTTTTGCTCCTATTAAAATAAAACTGTTGGTGACAGTTTATAGCTTTAAATATTGTTTCTCTGTCTCACATCAGCTACAGTCCAGCTGGGAAATGGGGAACGTTTGACATATTCTTTTTGACACCCATATATTTGGAATATCTGCTTCATTTATTGAGTTTTCTGTGCACAACAGGTGCTGTTCTCCAAAATGAAATGTCTTGTTCCAGATCTCATTTTTAGAGAAGATATGTCCAAGATTTTTTGCTGACTTCCCGTAGAAATAAATGAATCAGTCTGTTAAGAGTGATTTGGGGAAAAAGTAACAAAAAGGAGAAGATATGTCCAAGATTTTTTTTTGCTGACTTACCGTAGAAATAAATGAATCAGTCTGTAAGAGTGATTTGGGGAAAAAGTAACAAAAAGGTGTCGTAATTACCTGAAAAGGAAAAAAAAAAATAAATCTGGAGGAGTATTCAGCAGTCAGCAAGACCAATTTAGGCTTCTGAAGAAATTACTGGAAACGAAATGACTTAGAGTATTGAAAAGAAAACAGAAAATGAAAGAATTCATTGTAGGGCAGATTTCAATGCGAGCGTGGCGAGGGTTAAACAAACCCAAGGAGGTGACTCCCATCCCTGGCAGTGGAAAAGTTTTGTGATTCTGTAGGAACCTGGGTTTGTGCCTCTGCTGGGAATATTTGAGATACACCAAAACTTCCAAAGATGCTCTCGATAGGAGCAGAGCTGCGACGTTAAAAGCTGTTCTTCCTACCAGAATGGGTTCTTGCTCCTGAACGAAACAGATTCTAGCTTATTGGCAAAGCAAAGCTACGTTTAAATGTATTTACACTTGGGGTTTCTGCTCAAAGAATTCTCCCCGTCGGGGAACCGCACCTCTCCACAGCCCTGACCGACGCCGGCTGCGTTGGCAGAAATCCAGAGCAGTTGAAGGGTCAAAGGGAAGTAATTAAGATGGAAAGCAAAACCCTCGATGAAAAACTCTCTCTGTAATTACATGGGCATCACCGTGCTGCAAATGTTAACTGTCTTGTTTAAATTACAGGTATCTAGACCTCCGAAAATTCGGCTCAACTCCTCACGGAGGCTTCGGGATGGGGTTTGAACGCTACCTGCAGTACATCTTGGGAGTTGACAATATCAAAGACGTTATTCCTTTCCCCAGGTTTTCTCACTCCTGTCTCCTGTAGCTCAGCAGTTGACTCAACGTGGAGAAAACGGCTGCTGTGATGATATGTATATAGCACATTAGGATATGACTAATTGTGTTTGAGGAGGAAATCAAGCTAATTTTTATATCAGTGAAACTCTCGGTAATTTTAATACTGGAAATTGAACAGAATACTGAAAATAATCTATGTTCTGGTGAGATTCTGGAAGCACGCTCGCAGTTAATTTGATGGCAGTTCATGTCTTCAGTGCTCTTCAGGAGGGTTAATAAATCCCACTTATCTTAAGGGTTAAGATTCTCATGAGACTAGTACAAGAATAAGTGTTGTTGGGACATAGTGGGGGTTTTATGTGAAATATTAATAAGGAGGTGTGACCTAAAACGGACTGGGAGCCAGGACTGCTGTGAGGTTTTAATAGGCTTTAATTAAATGCCGCGGCACAGTGCTTTGAAGACTTGAGTGTTATAAAATTGTGAAGTATTGTTACAGCTGCCACATGCACTTGCTCTTACGAAATGGCTACTGTAAAGCATGTTTCTCCCCACTCCCCGAGCGAAAAGCAAATATTGTTTACCTTGGAAAAACCGGCCAAACCTGGCAAGGAAAAATGTCAGATTGGAGCTGCTGGAGCGCATCAGGTGCGTGCTGTTGATTTTGTGAATCATCAATAAAGATGTACGCTGGGTTGTTTTGTAACTCTGTATGGTTCCTTCTTCGGTTATAAAACAGTAGCACTCGGTATTACAGTGTTTCCTTCAGTGCCTTTTGGTAGATGTTTTCCTTTTCTGTATCCCCAAATTGGTTGCACAACTTCTGCAGGAGATGGTTGTTTTCTGTCTCCAAGAGAGCACATGTTCAGAGCAGAAAGAAATGTTCCGTTAGATGAGAATTCATTCATCTCTCCGGAGCCAACTTGCAGTTTATTGGTGGTTCCTTTTGTTGTTGCTTTGCTTTTTTTTGTTGTTTTTTTCCTGAGAAAATCTCTCACGTGCTCATCGGACCAAGCAGTTCTGTCTATATTTTGAAACAACCAAACATCACATAGGTATTAAGTAATTGCTTATCACTATGGGATCTGAACTCCTTGCCATCTTTAATGGGTTTGTGCTCTCAGCTTCTTTGCCAGGTAGAGAAATACTCATTTCTGTTTTGAAGACGGCATTAAATGACTTGCCCAAGGCAACTGGAAAACAGTGGTTTTTTGGGGACTTGAACTGAGAGTTTCCAGCATCCTTCTTCCCTTCCAAATTATCCAGCAAATGGTCATTTGCATAGTGCTTACTGCTCTGCAGCCCAAGACAGCTGCAGTATAAACACTATAGATAAAAAGAAAAAGCAAGGTAACAGCCTTATTGCTAATGAACCCTGGTGTTAATTGCCACATACAACGTGAAGTGGCTGCAGAACAGCCCTGAAGACTTCTTTTCCAAGTAGATGAAAGAGATGGAAAAATAGTCATCAAATAGCATTGCGCTGGTGATACTGCAGTCGCGGTTCTCTCTGCTGGGGCCGTATAATACTGCACCTGGAGTCTCTAAAAATACCTATTTATGTCATGTGGCACCTGCCACGTTTCAGTTTGGTCCATGGCTGGGACTCTTACATGTTACAGTCATGGAAAAAACATCGCCACAAGGTCCTTGCTGTGGGGTGTTTTGTTGCAGGCACCGAGACATCCCCTGCATATCAAGGGTGGGTTTTTTTTCATATCTCCTTCATCTGCTTGATTAGGCAGGTGTTAACTGTGCGTTTGCTGGTTCATGTTTCCTGGCACAGCCCCGGGGTTGGTGAGTCTGGTTCCACGAAACGGTTCAAGCACCTGCGTTCCCTTTGAAACTGCTGAGAAGTTCCTACATCAGAAGTTCCTACATCCTTCCTGCAATGGGCCATCTCTCCTTTTCACAGAATCACAGCATGATACGGGGTAGGAAGGGACCTCTGGAGATCATCTAGTCCAACTCCCCTGCTAAAGCAGGTCCACCAAGAGTGGGTTGCACAGGACCGTGTCCAGGCAGGGTTTGAACGTCTCCAGAGAAGGAGACTCCACCACCTCTCTGGGCAGCCTCTCCCAGTGCTTTTAATGCTCTGCCTTAAATGTGATTGCTGGCCTTTGTGGTTTGGATTTACTTCTCTCGGCAGAAAGATGTGGAAAGAATACAGCTGCCAACCAGCCCCGTCCACACCGTGGTCCTAAATAACTTGTGGTGAGCAGGTGTCCTCATTGAGATCCTTAGTCACCGGTTGTGTCACAGTTGCTGTAAATGAGAGAGCTTGATCTGGAAGCCCATCTGCTGAAAACAGAGTGGGTGGATGGTGAAACCATCTCCCGTGCACTCTGCTCTCTCCTTCCCATGCCAGCTCTGGGCTGTGTTGGGTTTGGCATCAGTGGGAGGTGGCTGATCACCCTCCAAGATGCCAGGTCTGATGGGCGGGGTGGAGCTCGACAGCGACAGGTGAAAAACAAGGTGGAGAGAAGAAGACAATGGAAGGTGCCAAAAAGTCATGGGATGACGTGGCGTGAGTCACACGGTACAGGGAAGGACAGGAGGACAGTTTCAAATTGGCTTGAGGAGTGGCTGTCAGGGCCTTCTATGAGGTGACAGCTTGCAAGAACCAAGGACTGGTATGATCCACCCTTTGTTCTTCACCTTGATAAGAGGTTGTTGCAGGACAGAAGGTAAAGGTTGAACCTTTGATTTATAGAGAGGTAGGTATCTGAAAATGTCAAAGGTCTGGGTTTTTAGTTTTGGGGGGTTGGATCGGTTTGCCTGGCCTTTTTTTTCTTTTTTTCTGGTTGCAGCCATTGCAGAAAGGCAGATTTTTAAGGACGATGTAGCAAGGATGCACCATAAGTGATTCTGGGTGCGTTTCTGACCACACATCCAAGATGAGCTGTCTCCCCAGTCTTCTACATGATTTCTGTTTCATTCAAATGTACTCGGTGAGTTGGAGATCCAAGGTTGAGGTAAGGGGGCATTAATTACCCTTGGGTCTAAAAGCTCATCCAATATGCTACCATCAATAATCTGGCAGAATAAGCAGGAGGAGAGCAGGATCATTCCCAACAGAACTCACCAGGTGAACGTTCAAGCTCAGAAGGGAGAAGAAAGGGTTGTCCAGTCTTGCAAACAGCCTTCAACTGGCGTTGTCTTCAACTGGCGACAAAGATGGTGAGGGGTCTGGAGAATAAGTCTTATGAGGAAAGGCTGAGGGAACTGGGGTTATTCAGCCTGGAGAAGAGGAGGCTGAGGGGAGACCTTATTGCTCTCTACAACTCCCTGAAAGGAGGGTGTAGAGAGGTGGGGGTCGGTCTCTTCTCTCAAGTCACAGGCGACAGGACGAGAGGAAATGGCCTCAAGTTACACCAGGGGAGGTTCAGGCTGGATATTAGAAAAAATTTTTTCACTGAAAGGGTTATCAGGCATTGGAATGGGCTGCCCAGGGAGGTGGTTGAGGCACCATCCCTGGAGGTGTTCAAAAGACGGGTTGATGTAGTGCTGGGAGGTATGGTCTAGTGATGATGCTCCTTGTTTGTTGTGTGGGTGTCTATTTTTGTCAGTTAGATTGACGGTTGGACAAGATGATCTTTAAGGTCCCTTCCAACCTAGAAGATTCTGTGATTCTGTGATTCTATCTTTCCTAGGGATGGGAGAGAGGAGAAGGTGGAGGCTGAGGTCCATGAGTAGGATGGTAACTGCTTAGGGTTAATACCGAGATTGGCGTTAGAGTGAGAAGCTTGATTTATGGGTACCCACCAAGGGTGGGAGCCGCTCGTTCCCTCCAGGCTGGCATTGTTCACCTCGTGCTATGTGTATATAACATCGGGTGGTATTGCCAAGGAATGCGACATGTTTTCCCCGGGATTTCCATGTGGAATGTCGTGTATTTCCTTCAAATCTCCTCTCCCAGAATGAAACGGAAGTTAATCGGGAGGACAGGGGAGGTCGTTCCTCTTGGACACGTGGGCAGGGAAACGCACTGAGACTTTCCTAGATTTAAGCCATTTTCTTTGCTACATCTTCACTTAGAGCCTGGGCTCTGGCCATGGATGAAGCAGATAAATGACAATTCTTCAAATAAATAAAAACCCTGTTATTCTTTGCGCACAGGAATCCTCTCTTAGCCTGACCACGCAGCGCGGTGGCTCACGTTGGGATGTTCTCAGCGCAGTGAGGGATCAGCTCTCCAGCCCAGGTGACCAGCACGGTCTCTGCTAGCATCCCTTTCGGTAAGTATTTCTTCAAGTTTCAGTTCCTCAGCAGCCTTTTTTCAGGTTTATCCTCGCTCTGAGCTTTGGAAGAAAGAGTCGGTGGCATTGATTACCGCGTCTGTGCCTTTGCCACGTTAGGATAGAGTTGATGGGAGAGCATGATGGGAATGAAAGAACAATGCTATAAACTTTGCATAACCAAATGGCAGTCTCTCAGAGGAGCGTTTAGAGGAAAACCTTTATTTTCACTTGAAGAATATCTGATAACCCCTTTACTTAATTTTTTTACATGCAGGATCAAAGCATCCCGAAATATTCTTATTTCTAATTTACAAAATAATACTCATGGAACCAACACCATGACTTGGTCTTTTTGATTCCAAATCAAATTCTCCCCCTTATGATTTATCTTGTGATGCCATGGCAGTGGCTAGATCTTGGACTGTGGTACTGACTTCTGTACGAGCAGAGATGGAAAAATACATGGCTGGGCCAAACGTTTCAAAGCCAACAGACTAGCTCAGGGATTTTAGCTGAATTATCTCTATTTGGGCCCACCAACCTGAGGGAAAAGCAGCGAGGTGCCCAGCTCAGCATCCTCTCTCCACTTTATTTGGTAGGAGTAGTTGTGAGGGAATTATTTGAGGGAATGCCAAAACTTTGATGGGAAACGTAACGTAGAGTTTTGCTTGCTGGACTAATATTGATTGTTTTGGAAATAGCTTATAGACGTGTTTTTCTTCGGGGAGGGGGGGGAGAAGGGAACAAATTTGCCAAGAAACACTTTGGTCATTGTTTCCATTAAATGTGTGTATAGAGATAAATGTGGCTTTGCTGCTGCTGAAACCAATAACAGGCCTTATTATTGTTGGTTTAGCCTCTGCCTTAACGCTGAGGGAGAACTGGGAGATGGGTCCAAAGGAGAAATAAGAAAGAGTTTGTATAAAGATTGTCAAAGTCCTAATTTCCTCAGATATAACCAAAGGTGCCAAAGCCACAAAAATGGTGGTCTCGGGGGGTGAATTTATTGTTTTGTCTCACTGCTTGTTGCGGAGCCGTGACCTTCGGAAGGGCTGTAAAGTTTTATTTTATGATCCTGCTGGTAAAGAGACGTATGTAATTTACTATACGAGTTCTTACAGACTTGGCTAACAACAAGTTTGACCCGGAGTTCAAAGAAATTATGGCTCCCGTTGTTTTATTGCTGCTGTGAAATGTATTATTATCTGTCCTACAGCTGTGTCTCGGTGTCTGCTGCACAAGGTGTTCGGCAAAGATGCCGTAAAGGGAGAGCCTTCACATAAAGGGCAGGATGGGGGGCAGGGCTGCGTGGCCATTTAAAAGACATATAGTAGCTCCATCAGAAATTGCAGGCTCGATTGTGGGTGAAATGTGGACGAAATGACTTCAGAATCCTTGTTGCTTTTATTGCTGACACCGTTTTACTGCTGGAAATCGAGGCTCGGGGCAATTAAAGCCTCTTGCC